TTTATAAAATCAATTATTTAAAAAATTGTTCAAAAGAAATAAAAAAAAAATAAAAATTAATATAATGACAGTTTTTAATAAAAATATAATAAAATATAATTATAAAAAATTAATTTAATGTGAAAAAATAATTCAGCAAAATGAAGTCATATAACTAATGGTAATACTAGTTGAATTTAAAGCTGGAAGGCTGATTGGCCGCCAATACCACCAATTATACCATACTGAAAAAAAATATTTCACCAGTAATTTATTTAAGTATTAATTATTGTATATGAAATTCAAATAAAAATTAATTTAAATTAAATTTGAATAAATTTATATTAACGTAATATTAAAAATAAAATAAAAGTTACAAACATAAATTAATTTCTTTAGCTAATTTTAAATCAAAATTAAAAAATTAAAATACTTACAAGTTTTTCCAGCAGATAATAACACTGTAAAAGATTTACAAGATGTAATACATTCCGGACTTGCTATCATTTTTATCAATCTTGTACCAGTTGTACATCTTATCATTACATTACTACATTCAGGATTTGGCTAAAATTTTTTAGAAATTGTATTAAAAAATTCTCTATATATTTACTCTATATATATTATATTATTCTAATATAACATATTTTTAAATTCTGTTATTAATTAATATATGAAATATATTTTAATATATTTATTATATTTCACTATATGTTCAAAAAAACATCTTCCATTTTTAATAAATAAAATTTCAATATGCAATGAAGAATATATGTACTTTAAATTTCATATATTTTTTTTTAATATATTGGTATACTCTATATAATTCATATTATAAAATATCAAGTTCAGTAGTTTTATATTTTTTATATTTTTTAATTTATATCAGTTTTGAATTAAATGTAAATTGATTTATAATTTATGAACAAATTATATGCAATATAAATTGAAGAATTTATTTTACTATTTAAATAGTATGAATTTTTCTTTATTAATTTTTTTTTCTTAATTTTTATTTCTTATAAAACAATATTTTGCACAACAAAAAATTTTTTATAAAATATCTTACTAAAGAATAGGATGGAGATTTTGGTTCATCAAAAAAAATAAATCTTTCTGTACTTTGTTCCCACCAATTTGGTGTATCTATAGGTTTTGGAAATAATTTTCTTAAAATTCTTCCTGCTCTCATACGATTAATTCTCCACAAAATATGATTATTTAAATTTTTAGAAAGATTTAAATCCATCTTTTTTTCCATAATATCTCGAATATTTCTAAAATAATGTACTTTTTATTTAAAAACTACTTGTACTATTTTTGTTTATATATATTTTTTATATATATATTTGTTCAATACCTGTAAGTCATATTGTTAGATAATACTTTCATAGCATCTTTTTCAAATATTTCTGAATATTGCCATAATAATTGTTGTACATTTTCCATATGAACTAAAGAATAATTTTCTGTTTTTATATAAGGAATTCCTGGATTAAATGATCTAGATATATGGTAACCACTTAGATCTGGTATAAAATGTATAACGCTACAAGGCCAACAATCCATATCATTTATATAAAAATATGGATTTTCTAATATGCACCATTCATCATATAATTCTAAAAAACAAAAATATACAAATAATAAAAAAAATGTTATTCAAAACACTTATATATAATTTTATTATTATTATATATAATTTTATATATTTATATATAATTTATATAATCTAATATAATTTTATTATTATATTGAAATAAGTTTAAAAAATGAACACTGATTTTTAATATTTAAATTATTTTATTAAATATTTTTTAATAAAGTACATTTAATATATTCATAAAGATTACTAATTATTACTAAAATTGATTTTTACAACATGCTATAAAAAATAATATAGGATTAAATATAAAAAATCAATTGAAATCTAAATATATATTAAAATTATAAAGTTTATTAATAAAATATATTTAACAGAAAGCTATAATATTAACATACCAGATAAAGAAGGATAATGTTGAATTATTGGTATTGCTATTTTTCTTAATAATTTTAAACCTGGATAAATAGAATTCTGCAAATTCCTCAATAACACTACTGCTAAGATCTTTTTATCAAAAAATATAAAACATATAACTATTATACATAATATTATAACCATACTTTTTATAACAACATGGAAATTAATTTTTTTGTTTTTTCTTTCAAGAATATAAAAAGAATTTTGTAAAATTCTATTGATTTCAGTTTCTGTAATACCATTTTCACGTGCACATTGATAAATTTTTTCTAATTCCTTTTTATATTCTTCTAAATGAACCATTTTTCAAAAACAAATTAAAAATAATAAATGATAAAGTATAATGATAAAGTATTTGCAACTATTTATTGAAATTTAAAGTAAATATGTATATTTATATATTTATATATAATGCGATTCATAAACTATATTATTTGCAAAACTTTAATGATATAATTCACTAATAATACTTATGTTACGCATTACGTTTTTACACCATTAAAAAACAAATTTATAGATCTGTACTAATCTGTAGATTTATTATTAAATTCGATTTAAATTCAATTATACATTTTAAAAATACAATATTATTGTATCTATTTATGAATTATCTATGATGTAAAAATATATTTATAATAAAAAAATAATATATTATAATAATATACTATTTTATTAAATAAATAATATAATATAATTGTTATTAATATAATATGCATGATGTTCATTTAAAAAATCCAAATATACAAATATCTCAAAAACATTATTTCATCATATCATAAACGATATTTTAAAAAAAATATCAAGTAAAAAAATTTCAAAAGTTTTAAGAAAGAAATACATTCTATTTATTTTTGATTTATTAAATATTTATAAAAACATTTCTTTATTTAATAAAAACTTATATTTGCAGATTCTTATTCTGCAGAAAAAAAGAAAAAATTCTTTATTAAATTATTTAACATTTGTTCTAAAAATATTTGCATATAAAATTTTTAAATGAATATTTTATATATTAT